ACAAAAAGTCTCTTACTCTGAACCTGATGGAAATGAAATCTGATTAGACGGCACAGAAACGCCAAAGAGTCTGGTTTTGCTTGGTTTACAGAATCGAGTTTGGTTTATCCCCCGAGGTACTCGAGGGTAAAAGTCCCTCCCTGGATTTCACATCCCCTTGCAAGTACGACCCTGGCGCCTGCGGGCACAGCGGCAGCTCGCCGCGCTCCTTGAACCATCTCGGTGCTCTCCCGGGACGCAGCCCTGGCGAGCGCGCCTTGAACAGAGGCGCTGTCCCAAAAGCTCATTCAAATCACCAGGCTGGGTCGGGCACTTTGGCGCTGCTGGTCGCTAAATAAAACTCTCTTTAGTGGCTCAGCAGTGCTGGACATGGATTGCGGGTTGCTGTTGTGGGCCCCGCTGCTCCCCCCTGGAGCAGGCAGAGGTTCGGGGCAGCGGGGACATCCCTTGTCTGCGCCGGGCATCCCGGGGAGGAAGCGGGGGAGAGAGGGCAGAGAAAACGGCATCACCGGAGGGAAAGCAGCTCTCCCAGGAGTTCCTAGGAAGGCAGCTACAGGCGTCACTCAGCCACAGGGTTTTCTGCGGAGCTCGGCACCCTCAGAGGGTGCTCCGGCTCAGGAGGTGCAGTCGGGGCATGGGCAGATGGGGCCATGCTGTGCCCCGGGACAGAGCATCCCTTTTCGAAATTCTGTTTCCCTCTGAGGTCAATTCAGAGTCCTCTGCTAAATCGCCTTTCTCCAAACACCGTGCTTGATACCTGCAGAAAAATCTGGAGAGGGATGCTGAATAAAGTTAGAAATATCCAGCTGTTTAGGAGGCTGGAATTGCTAAGAGGAAAGGGAAAGGGAAAGGGAAAGGGAAAAAAAAGACGGAAAAGAAAAGAAAAGAAAAGAAAAGAAAAGAAAAGAAAAGAAAAGAAAAGAAAAGAAAAGAAAAGAAAAGAAGTTTAAATTTTAGGTGGACATCTAAGTTTTTATTTATATCTGTTTGAATATGCCTTCATGTATCTCACTACATAGAAATTAAATCGTAAGCAGAGTTGAGAAACTCAGGACAGTTAAAGGAAGCATTAAGACATCCACCATAAAGTTACATTTATCTGGAATGGGAAGGGAAATGTAGGAATATTGCCTGGATCTAATTTGAGGCTGACAGCACTGCACACTGCGGGTCCGCTGGAGTCTGGAGCGTCTCTCTCCGATCGATGGTGAGCGCGGGGCACATTGGCAGGGGGCACAGACAGACTATTCCAAGATAATGCAGTGGAAAAGGAAAAAAAAAATCGATCCAAATATATTGTTGAACAGTGGAGCCAGCACGCACCTATGAGATTTATCAAGTATTGATTTGCATGAATATTTTACACTCGCGCCTACGAGAAAAGTTATGGGCCATCTTAAACCGGTGAGCAATGTACCATTTGCAAAGTAGCCATTTAACAAGGTGCTTTCCAGCGTATCGATCATCTTCATTTAAAGTGTAATTAATAATAACGTCTTACTGCAGCTACACTAGGAATTTATTTCAAAAGGGCAGTTCAGACTCTATTTTGATTGTCGTTTGCTTCGCTTAAAAGAAAAAAAAAATCTTTTCACTGATTATTTTTATTAGCGTCCAATAAACACAAGTTGTCTTTGTGAGTAATCTGGCAAGGTTCTCCTTTGCCTCGCCTCTGGAGTGCCATCTAGCTAAGCTGTTGTAGCAACATTCATTAAATAAATGTCAACAGACAAGGATTTATGCTGCATAATAATATTACAGCTGTAGTATAACTGGATTTATTTTAAAGCTATTCTGAGGTTGCTTTGATCTATAAAGCAGCAACGTATGTCTCTATATGTCATAAACAGCCTTTGCAAAAGTACTGTGAGTTTTACAGTCCATCAACATTTTTCTTAGAGCTTTCTGTTTGCAGGAACAGCAAAAAGCGTGTGACTCTTACCCTTTTTATTTGTTTAATAAAAAAATACACACAAGGAAGAAAACTGTGAGGAATTTGCTGTCCTGATTTGAGGGATGGGCTTGGGTGTTCGGGTGTGGGGTTTTTACCTATTTTGAAATAGTCAATGCACATACCTCAGGGACTGCATCTGGTGGGAGGTGTTTCTCTGCATCCAGCAGAAATTTCTTGCCATCAGATACAGGGTATAATTACAAAGTATAATTACAAAAGCTACGAGGTAAAGAAACCTGAGGTGTGTATGTTCCTACTTTCAGCACATACTTTTAATAAGCCACTATAAATCGGTTTCTGCATGTACAGAATAAGGCATAAGTAAGCACTTTTTCTTAGATGACTTCACGTCTTGCACCTTTTAATATTTTACCATGATCATAAGTTACAAATACAGTGTATGAAAAAAATCTGTTTATTGATATAATCAGCACATCTTTAAAAAACAAACATACTAATGTCAAAACACATTTTAAAAATCCGATTGATCATTTAGCCCTGCCAGTTCCTTAACTTCAAGGAAAGAATATTTAGTAAAATCAGAAGCATAATAATCTCATATGTTACTCCAAAGAAAAGGCATGTGGAGAGTGGCAGGCATGTTAAATTTCTCGTTGGATTACAATCTACTCTGATATGACTGTAGTGAGTCAGGATTTTACTCCAGTAGGTAACACTGGGAGATCTGGGGAGCTGGATATGACGGGAAAAACGGGTTAGCCGCTCTCTTCCAGGGGCAGCCAGGCTTTGAACGGCATCAAAATCAAGTGCTTGCGCCCTGAGGAAGAAACATCGCCCCAAGTCACCTCCTCTGGCACGAAAGGCTGAAGTCCAGCCCAGCCGCTTTCCCCGCGGCCGGGCACCGACGTCCCCAACTTCGCCCCTTCCCCGTCCTTCCTACACAGCTCGGGGACCAGGCTTTAGAAGTTTTCATCTCAAAACCGGGTGTTTGACGGATATGCCAAGAAAACGGCCGGCGAATATGTCCGAAGATTTCAGGGTGAGATCAGCATCCGTTTAAAAAAAGAAAAAAAAAAATTAAAAGAAAAAAAAAAAGAGAAGAGAACTAAAAAAAAAAAAAAAAAAAAAGGGAAAAAAAAAAAGAAAAAAAAAAAAAAAAAAAAAAAAGAAAATAAAAAAAAAAAAAAAAAGGAAAAAAAAAAAAGGAAAAAAAAAAAAAAAGGAAAAAACCATCGATTAACCAAACAGCTTCCATAAACGGGGCTTACGTTGAAGCCAGTATCCCAGAAATTTAGTACTTATATATATATATGGATACATATATATGCAATTCTCAAGTGGTTTTGAGGCTTGCAACATCCTGACTTCAACGGTGCAGGCTGGTGCTCAGAGCCATATTTCAGGCCAAAGCAGAGGAAAGGGGGAAAAAAATAAAAAAATTTTAAAAAAAAGAAAAGAATAAACAATAAAGAAAAAAAAAAGGAAAAGAAAAAAAAAGGGGAAGAAAGTCCAAAATTGTTTCGAGGTTATAATCCACCCCTGACCCTTCTTCTAGGGTTTTATATCAAAGCTGAAGCTCCACCACATCTTGTTGATCGATTTCATAACCAGAAAAAGATTGCTTCAGTTATAATGAAAAGCGTAGGAAAGAGTAAGAATGAAATCGCCCTTCCTCCACAGGAGACAGGTCCGCATGCACATTCCCCAGCAGATCCAGGACCTGGCCTTGCCTGCAGGGACACCGAGTGCTCCGAGCTGGTTGGTTCGATTGCAGCTGATTATGCCCTAGAACGTACGATCAAAGCTTGACTTTCCACCAAGGCCGAGTTTTATAAGGTCATTTCCCCCTCAAGATTTGAAAAAAAGAAATTTAAACTTTTAGAAATAATGACAGTCCAGAAATTCATTTTAGGAGTGGGGGAAACAAAACAGTTATTAAAGAAAAACAATAACTTGGCATGCATAATACTTCATATAATATCATGTTACAGGTTCGCTTGCATAATCAGACATACAGCTCCCCAGTCTGTTCCCATCTGATTATTTTTCTTTCCTTCCTTTTTAATTGCCAGTGAATTATTAATCGATTACACAAACCGATCCCGTAAGAGATGGACAAGTGAGGTGCGCTTTCCCCAACCTCTTCAGGAGACTAAAAAAAGTGGCAAATCCACTTGTAAACTACAGTATGTAGAATTACATATATATGTGTACATATAAAACCGTGTATTTTAGCCGATAATTTGCCAGGGACATAAAACGAAAACAAAGAAACCAAATCCTCACAGCTCGGATTTCAGCAGGGCGAATTCTTTCCAACACTTTGCCTTCAAGTTGTTTCAAATCAAAACTTCTGCACCGAGAAGGACCGGGGGCACCAGCACATGCTTGGGTGTCGGTAGTGTGGAAATGAGAGTACGGTGGGAGCGGGATATGTACGGGTTAAGTGGCTAAAACAAAGGGCCCTGGAGAAGCTGCTGGAGGCCGGGATCAGCAGGGTCCCCCGCTCTGCGCGGAAAGCTGCTGGGGCAGCGGGGAGGCTGAAAGGTTTCCCCGGCAGGAGCGCTGCCCGGAGGTCCCGGGGAAGGTCCCTTGGCCGCGGCGGGGCCCCGGGGCTCGGCCGCCCGTGGGGCGGGGGCGGCGCGGCCGGGAAGCGCCGGCTGCTCCGTACATTCGTGTCACGCTCGGCAGCTCCGCGGGTTGCAGGAGGAAGGGTCGGGGGAGTCTGTTCCCCCCCGGAAAACGCCGGTCTGCCTCAGCCCGGGGCCGGGGCGGCGGTGAGGGTTTTGCCGCTGCCACGGGGCTGGATTTTCTTTGGATGCGCGGCGGTGGGAGCCCCGCCGACCTGATCCCTGTGCATGGCTGGGGTCTTTCAAGTCCTTTCGGCTCCCTCCGGGCTGCAGCACGACGCTCCGAGTTTACCCCAAGAGTAAGTTTATTGCACGTTAAAAAAAAAAAAAAAAGTCAAAAAGCAGAAAATCAAGAAACGTGTAAGTTGAAAATAAAAAGTCCGTGTAGGAAGGGGGGTGGAGCTGGAAGCCGAGGGAGGGGGCGAGGGGGCCGCTGTCCCGGCAGAGGTGGGCGCTCAGACGAGTCCTGTCATCTGCGACCGTAGGAAAGGGAGGGAGGCGGCGGGGAAGGTGCCCAGGGGGTAGCTGACGCCGCTGGAGAAGCCCACCAAGGGGGGCGACATGTGCGGCAGGGTGAAGCCCAAGGCGCTCGCCGGCGAGTTCTCGTGGTACAAAATGGGGACCCGCACTATCCTTTGGGCGGCGTGGGAGAGGTTGGCCGCTTCCAGGTCTGCGGCCAGCTGCCGCTTCCACTTGTTGCGGCGGTTCTGGAACCAGATCTTCACCTGGGTCTCGGTGAGGTGCAGCGAGGCGGCCAGCCCGGCCCGCTCGGAGCTGCTCAGGTAGCGCTTCACGTCGAAGGTGGACTCCAGCTGGAACACCTGGCTGCGGCTGAACACCGTGCGCGTCTTCTTCTTGCGGCCGGCGGCGCGTTGCTCCGGCTCTCCCGGCTCCTCGCCGCGCTCCTCCTCCTCCTCGCGGCCGCCCGGCCCCGGCCGCCCGCCCGCCGGGGCTCTCGCCGCCGCCCGCCCGCCGCCGCCCGCCCGCTCCGCCGGCTCCTCGGGCAGCTCCGGAGAGTCCCGGTCGCTGGCTGCAAAGAGAGGCAGAGGGCTGCTGCAGGCGTGGAGGGAGCAGGGGCATCGCGATCCCGCGCCCCGCTCAGCGGGAGGGGAAACCAGCGAGGATGGGGGGAGAGAAAGGCCGGGCAGAGAGGGGCCCGGGGAAAGGCTCCTGCCGCTTCTCTTCTCTGCCCAAATATTTCTGAGTGCATACGCACACGTGCAGGCTTGCTTATATGGAAATACAAGCCCTGTATTTTATATATATAAATATACTGATCTGTGGACATGCTCGTGGGTCTGCGTATGCGTGCACACACATAAACACACTCCTGTGCATGCACGAGCACACACATGGGCTGTTTTCAAATCATAAAACGCACCCGTGTGTGTAAACACACACATGGATATGCACAGAAGTACGTATGTAATTTTTAAATATGTATGTACACACAGGAATACGCGTGACCTCTTTTTTATATACACATGTCTCTATTTACACACGCATGCACATGTACATACTTAAAAGTACATTTGTGAGTAAGTATATTGTGTCAGAAGGGTAAGCATAATAGTGCGTCCGTGTGTATATAGAGAGGGGAAAAAAAGGAATAATTCACAATATTCTGAGCTTCAAAAAGCTGATGGATTGGGACAACTATTCCACTATTCCATGGGGGACATACCTCCATGGAGTCTCCAACACTGTGCATTACAATTACAATTTTAAAGGGGAAAAAAATATTTCCTACTCTTTATAAAATAAAAAAAAAGAAAGAAAAAAAAAAAGAAAAAAGCGCAGTTGCTTCTGGAGTACTTTGCTGTCTCTATATGTACTTCTGAGAGGAATGAAAAATATTAATAAGTCAATTAATGTAAAAAGAAACTATTTGGATTACAAATCACGCTTATTGAGCAATCATGAGATTTCTGCAGGCTCGTATACGGTCACAGAGATGCGCCGAGGCACAATGTTTTTTCTATCAGGAGATAGAAAATAACCACTAATGGCAGCCCATTCACTCTGTCATATGTTAATTCCTGCCCCAAACCCCGGCTTCTGCTCCAACACCCTCTCCACTGGGATCCCTGCAGCGAGAGGCCGCGCTGCGGGCGGAGGGCAGCGGGGCTGGCTCTGCGGGAAGGGGCGGCCGGGACCGAGCCCAGCTGCTTCCCCGGCTTCCCAAAGTCTCCACTGCGCTGCTGGGGGACGGTGCTCCCAGCTTTCCGGCTTGATGGCGAGTAAAAAAAAAAAAAAAAAAAAAAAAAAAAAAAAAAAAAAAAAAAAACAAACTAGCCAGACCTGCCTCTTAAAAAAAATTAAAAATTTTTTAGAGAAAAGCTAGAAAGAAAAAAAGATGGGGGAGGGAAAGAGAAAGGAAAAAAAAAATCCCCAAGCAAGCCAAGAATCCCTGTTTACACTTTGGGCGGCGGGGCGGAGGCTCCAGGTGCCTGACACATAGGGAGCATTTCCGGAGATTTGCCCCGAGCGGCCGAAAACGGGGAGGCAGGGCGGGGGCTGCGGGGGCACTCGGTGCATCCCCCTGTCCCTCTCCGGCCTGCTCCGGGGGGCCGCGGCGGGACCCGGACCCCCCACCCCGGGGGGAGCAGGAACACCCCCAGCCCCAGCCCCGGCCCCGGCCGGGCCCGGCGGTGAAGGGTGGGGAAAGGCGACTTACTGTCGGGGCTGGCGCAGCCCAGGAAGGCGGCGTGTGCCCGGCGGTACCAGCCGACGGCGGCGTCGCGGAGGGGGCAGCCCGGGGCGCCGATGCGCAGCGGGGAGTGCGGCCCGCAGCGCGGACCCCCGCGCCCGCCGTGCCCTCGCTGCCCAGCAGGTCCTCGATGAAGAAGGACGAGACGCGGGCGGAGGTGGAGCCGGCGTTTTCCGTGGCTTCGTCCGGCATCGTCGGAGAGGAGTGCGGGAGGGGGTCCCGGCTCCGCGGGCGGCTGGCTCCTCGGCTCCCCGCTGCCCCGCGGCCGCCTCTCGCCTCTGCCTAGCCCCGTGGATGCTCTCCTGGTATAAAAGCGTTTTTTTCCGGAGTAATCATTTCAGATCGCGGTTTGCCATCATTTCCTGCAAGCTAGGAGGGGAGGGGGGAGGGGGAGGAGGGGAAGGGAACGGGGAAGGAAAAAAAAAAAAAGGCAGCCCGACAACCCATCGGAGGCGCCAGATTCTGCGCGAAAACGCTAATAACGAAATAAAAATGTCATGCGAGTTAAACGGCGGGCAGGAGCGGGGGATCCTGCGGTGGGCGGAGCGCCGCGCCGATTGGGATCTGCGCGGGGAAAGCGGCGGGCGCCGGGCGCTGCCGGGGTGTGCGTGTGTCCGTGTGTGTGTGTGTCTGTGTGTCCGTGTGTCCGCGTGTGTGTCTGTGTGTCCCTGTGCGTGCGCGCCGCCCCGGGGCCGCCGTTCACGAGCTCCTTATTTAGGTCAATTAGGGAGCAAATCCCGGTGCGGGGGGGCGGCGGCGGCGGCTCCGGCACACGGGCCGCAGCCGGGGGGGCTTGGCCGCTCCGCATCCCCAGCCTTCCATTGGCTGCAGCGGGCTCAGCGGGCAGCCCCGGCAGCCAATCGGCTCCGCGGACATCGCGCTTATATTAATATCATTAATATCATTAATAATAATAACCCCCGCCCACCCCCCGCCGAGCGCTTTCATGTGGCGGCGGCGGCGGTGCACGGAGGAGATGCGCCCTCCGCCGCCCGGAGAGCCGGCTCCGGCCCCGCGGGCCCTGCCGCCGCCGCCGCGGCTGTCGGCGGAGCGGTGAGGCTGTCCTCAGCCCGGAGCCCCCTGGCTGAGGCGTTTGAGTCGGTTTTGGGAGAGTGGCGGAGGGGTGACTGCTCCCGTGAGCAGGCAGTGGTGGGGACACGGTGCCTGCTAGGAAAGGGGAGAGGACTCTCCCCTAAGGGGTCTCCCGAGGTCCGTTCTGCTTACCTCATATATGTATATATACTTATACAGATATATTTTATTGATGTCCATACGGTGTCTGTGTAGTTTATTTAGAGAGGCACCCAGCCCGGCTCATCCGAGGCCGCCCGGGACTCCCTGTTCCCCGCGCCCCAGGCCGGGAGGCAGAGGCGATGCGCTGCCCCCTCCAGGAGCCGGCCCGTGTTTCCTGGCGTTACTTCTCTTCAGTCCGACTTTTTAATCATTATCTTACTGTAATACCATTTCCTGGGAGCTCTAAAGTCGTGTCCCCCCCGCCCCCTTTTTGCCAGCTTCTGGAGACAGCCTTGGGACATGGACCCCGGCAAACCCACCAAAGTGCCCCTGGCTGCGGGGCGCCGAAACAGGAGGGTCACCCTCTGCCTTTTCCCTTGGGACCAGGCGAGCCAGATTAGTAGAGGGGCAACTCGGTCCAGAGCGCACGTCGGAGACCCGCGGAGGTTTGGGTGAGTACAGAGACACCCCTGCGATGCGCATCTGCTGGCCAAGCCTCTCCTGCCCTGCTCTTCTCTGCCGGAGGATCCCTCCTTGTTCCCCTTTGCGGTATTCCTGGACGAGTACCCTTTTCCCAGGCCCCGCCTCCCCCTCCCGCCGTGGAACGGGGGCACCGCTTGCTGCCCAGCGGGAGTGTCCGGCGGGCCAGGGGCGCAGCCGGGAACCGAGCCGGCCTCCCCGCCACGGAGCGCTCTCGCTCCTTTCCCGGAGTGACAGTGGGGACCTTTGCGGTCAGGGCCTATTTTTGAAAGAATACTTAAAAAAAAAATGAAGATAAGGGAATAATTCCCCTTTCAATGTCTCCAGAAAAACGCAAACAGTCCGAGCTCTGAAATGGACTCTGGAAAAATGGGAATTCTCTCTTACTTGGGCAGATACCGAGGACAGTCTAGTGAACTGTAAGCCGGGAGATAGAGCATTTGTCACTTGTTGCACAGAAGTGAAGTTAATAAAGATTACTTTTATGCTTGTTTTGCTTGTTCCTGCATAGGAAACACGGCCGATAGTTCTTATGCATCCATAAACCGTCAGCTCTATTTGGCTGCCGGACTCAGAAAATGTGTGCTTTCCGGAATAAAGAAAAAAATGTGGCCCGTGATTGCTTCTGTACATAACACATGCAATCTGCATATCTATAAAAGATATGCTTGTGTCCCATACCCATATTTTATAAAGCGTTTATGCAGTGTGACCATGCAACCTATGTAATATTTTTCTGCTTTCCACTTATAAAGACTTTAACAAAATCACCACGATTAAATTGGCTCTTGCTCCACCCTCCCCAATATTTCTTTAGTATAACGTATAGCTGGTGTGCAATAATCCTGAACTGTGCTTGTGAGACTCGTGTATACTCAGATGTATGCCTGAAATACAAAATCAGGATGAGTACAATTCTATACCTGCAAATGCAACACTTGTACATGCATGTCCGTGCTTATTGGGGTTTTTTTAAAGCTCGTAGCTATGTTCTCACACTTTTTGCATTGCTGTAGTGACATTACTAACATTTCAGGCTTCATATCCTTACTGCTTATTATGATGATGAGAATAAAAAGGGTGTGTGTCTCCTGCAGACATCCTTCAGGGTAGGAAGCAGAAAAAGCACTCAGTGATGGTATTTTCTTAATTTAACTTTAGAAAGGCATCCTTGGCCGCTGTCCTTACACCTTTCGGAGTCCCCTACCCGGAGGTAGCGGGGGCGCAGGGGTCCCCTTGTGCCCAGGGCTTTGCCATCACCCCGCGCCGGGCAGGGGCCGTGCCGCTGCTCCCGGGCCGTCTCCGCCGGGACTCAGCGTGGCCACGGCGAAGTGAAACCTCTCCTTCCCCATCGCCTTCTCTTCCACGGCCATCTCTTTGCGGCACAGTAAATCTTTATTTTTTGCAGGCGGGAGAATGGAGGGACTTTCCCCGGGCAGGTCCTGATGCCTCCGGTTGGTCAGGAGGGAGAAAGAACCACGTGTTTTCTACAGAGCTGGCTTTGAGACCGGGTTTAGACTAGAGGTGTTGGGGTCTCTTATTTTCTCCCATCCTTGGCTCACTTTCTTTCCCAGGTACGTGCTTTTCTCCGAGACATCGGAGACTTCCAGGTCCAGTGCAGGTCCGCGAGGTGCGGGGTGGCCGCAGGCTGTGGCCCCGACTCCAGTGGGGAGAACAGTTCGGCTGAACAGTCCTGGCTTCCAGTTCGTGCCCACCACTGGCCTGGGATGGCCGCATGGCGTGGGGTGTCCGTGGGGCATCCCCCCGTCAGCATCTCCGACGGCTCCTGAGCTCGACAGCGGCGGCCACGCAGAGGGCAGAGAGCAGCGGGGATTTGGGGCCGGGCTCCGTGGGGAATTAGCAGACGGAGGGCTATATTTGGGGCTGCAAACGCGTGTGTGAGTGTGACAAGAGCCTCCAGGGGGTCACGGTGCTGGCGGGCCGGCCGCTGCCGCCTCCCGCACGGAGCGGAGCGGCTCGCTGCAATGTGAATGCAATTACCCTGCTGGGGCTTGATGCCTCCCCTCGCTCTCCCTTCGCTGCCTCGATGTGTCGTAAAATAGAAGCGAAATGAAAGGCAGGCTTTATCGCTCGCACCCCTAACCTCTGCTCCTCTTTGCTTTTAAGGGCAGCGGTTTTTGGAGCCCGGATCTTTGCGGGGCACCGTTGGCCCCCAGTGCAGTGGACAGAGGTGGCTTTGGGCAGGGGCATCATGCTCCCTTCTCCGCACCAAAAAAAGCCGCGCTGAACAGATCGCTCAGTTCTTGACACCTTCCTGAGAGATCAGACGGCATCGCTGGGGGTAAGGGAATTCTTGGCCAATATCTGACTCTGGTTGATGTGTACACATATATAATATATGATACATATTTATGAGTCATAACTATACACTTAAACCCACGTATATATATACATACATATATATGTGTGTGTGTACTTAAAAATAATGCTTCAGCCATGTTCTGTTCAGATATTTACGTATAAAAATAAAACAAATAAAGGCTGTATTAGCATCTTCAGTAACTAGTCGTGAGCCACCAAAACGCAAAACCAGTTCCTAGAAAGCAGTGTTGCTTTTTTGTGTCCAAAACTCCTTCAGAGGAGCAGAAGGGGTGGGATGGTTGGGATAGCTACTTTGAAGCAATAATAAAACAAGAAAAGAACAAAATAACAAACGAACAAACAACCCCCATAAAATAAAGATAAACCAGAAGGAGATTGCACCCCCCGTCCTAGACCTCTGTGTAACACCTTCCTCTCCTGATCCTTTTTAGGAGAGGTGGGGGCCCGCTCACCTTCCTGGGAGCCACCCAAATTCTCCCTCTCGGATATCTTTCGTCCCTCTAGAGTTTGCCAGGTCTCTGCACAGGCTCTGCCACCCTCAAAAAGTGGCGGGTGGGGAGCAGGAGCCAGCGGTGGGTTATGTCCCGCTGAGGCTCACAGGGACAAGTAGAGGGGACTTTTCAGAGGGGTGTCCCTGCCAGCCCCGGTGCCTGGATGGAGGTCCCATGCACATCTCATGGGAATAACCTTTTTTTGGGTGGCCTCTGTGGCGGGGAACATGAAAAGGACAAGGACATGGCAGTGAGAAACTTTTTCTTGCAGGTAGAAAACCCTAAAGCCCCTCAAATGTGAGTTAAATAGCACTTGAGTGCAGCAACACTTCGTGGATTCCTTCCTGAACCTGCAGTAAATTTTAACGGGTCCCTGAAGATGGGGAGAACAGAGGAAATTATTTTTCTTTCCAGTGTATTATCTTTATAAACCCAGTCCAGCTGAATTCTTCACCACCAGTGAGACTGGAAGAGAACTTTTCCCCTCTCAAGGGCGCTGCACAACCCAGGCTGCATCCCATGAATATGTTCATTATTCACAGACAGTCACTAAGTGCTTTGGATGGAAACTTCCAGCCTGTGGCATGTCCTGACTGCCCGTGATGTCTGTTTATTGCTCGTTAGAGATGCCATACAACTCGCAGCATGAATAGCATCGCT